ATATCGATCCTATTATTGTAGATATTTTAAAAATAAATTTTGAATCCTTGTTATGTGTTGTATACATAATAAGCTGAATGTTAGGAATAGCCATATAATATAAAATAAAAATAATTTTCGAGAAAAACTGATTCAACGTATGAGTGGTTCGTGTGATAGCGTTGTGTTCAACAATGGCTCGCATTAACCGTCCATTGAGTCCATGTTTTACACAAAACATTAACTGATTATTAATTTCATCGAAACTGTACTTTAAATACAATATAATCGTTATGAAAATAAAGCCACAAATTGATAATGTTAAAAATAACTGCGATTGGGATATAATAGTGACAAACCCCCACATTATAATAGCCATCCATGAGTAACTATACTGGCTGTCAGCCCATGATATCGGTATTATTAAAATTAATGATATGCTTACTATCCAACCATTAATGAACGGCTTATGAATTATATTAATGTATATATTTAATAGAAATGATATTTTCTTAACACTAGTTTTATTAATTGGTAATCTATACTCATTATATTTAATATCATTTAATAAATGCAACATGTACAACTTATTTATTAATTAGCAACGATTTCGATGAATACGAGTCCGGATCCAAAAGCGGTAGACGTTTGCTATTTAATTATACATTGATTATAATTTTATCATTAAATACACTGAGATGTGTATTAAATATGAATTATATTAATGTATATATTTAATAGAAATGATATTTTCTTAACACTAGTTTTATTAATTGGTAATCTATACTCATTATATTTAATATCATTTAATAAATGCAACATGTACAACTTATTTATCAATTCATATCTTATGAAAATAATTTTAGTCATTATAACCGTTGTTGTAAATAATATTTCAATTGAGCATATTAACTGTGGATTACCTAGTACTTGTAATGGTGCGCATAAATATTCATTATCATCAATTAATAAAATTAATACACATCTCAGTGTATTTAATGATAAAATTATAATCAATGTATAATTAAATAGCAAACGTCTACCGCTTTTGGATCCGGACTCGTATTCATCGAAATCGTTGCTAATTAATAAATAAGTTGTTTTGCAATATTTTTCCAATTTTGTGATACCAGTAGCCGGGTCATACCAAGTTGTAATTATATTAGGACCGTAAAATAATTTTATGAAATTCAATAATAATTTAAGAAAATAGTTCAAAATGGTACTAGTTATAGCAATCATTTTAACTTATTTTAATGTTCATTATATCAGATATAAATATTTATTGTTGAGTATTTACAGTATATCATGTGAATGTTTATACAGTATATTATTTTTGCTAGATAAATTTCTTAATATTATTTACTGAACAAAATTAAGAAAATATTAAATATAAAGCTTAATTAAATATTTGTATAAACTTTATTTGTTAATTAATGAGAATGAGATGAGAATTATTAGATATAAAAATAACATACTATTCAGCAATTATTTTTTAAAAAGATATTAAATAAATATTATTGATAATATAAGATAATAATTATATTTAATAAGTATATTTAAATAAATATTATTATAAAATAATTTCAGCAAAATAAATATTTCCATTGAATATTTGTATTCTCCAAGGTATTTTTGAATTATAAGCGTTGTTCAAGGATACTTATTATTAAGTGCACAATTTATTTTACTTTCACACCTAATATTACTTTAGAAAGTGACCGGGATAGTCTCCTTTTTCTTAATGTTAATTATTGATACCACATAATTCATAAAGCAGTTTCTATGGGACGGGTAACACTATTATTGTCGGTATCAGTTTCTATGGGAAGGGTAGCACTATTATTGTGGGTATCAAGCACACTCTTGTCCACTTTGTATCTCTCAGTAATATAGATAATCGCAAACAGAATCACAAATTCCGATACAATGCCTATGAATGGCCACAAAGCACTCCATTTTCCTATGATTAGACACAAACATGATTAACATTGGTCATAATTTGCATCCATGTCCACATATACATACCTTTAACCCTTAAAAAGATCGTGTTATTAGTTGCACTAATACCATTTATGGCCATGCACACATAATAGTACCTATCCGATGGCACTACCTTATCTATGGTTAAGTATGATAATGTATCATTCACATTATTTACACTAATATGAGATGATGGGGAACTGGACATTATTTTAGTTAATTTCACACTAGGTAAAAAATGTTCACTCTCATTATACATATACCAGTGGACAGTGGCATCTCTGGTATAGCCATCAATGACCTGACATTTCTGATGAAATGCCTGTCCTTCTACTAGAGTTGTCGATAAATAGTTAGTAGACTTGTATTCATCCCATGGATATAACCAGGCCTTTGATCGCACAGTAATTATCATAAATGCCTGTGCATTACGTGGTGACTGACACCTCCAGTTCCCCACATCACTGGGTCTGGCTTTAGTGATATCGATGGACCAGTCGCTGGATGTCCTGATAGTAATCCTGCGTTTGTCCGCATCGGTGAACGACTCGTATGGGATGTCATCCCTAAACCACATCCACTCAATTGTTTCCGGATTATTATCATCGTTCATATAATTACAGTAAAGTCTTAGTTGCCATCCGTTTACTAAATACTCTTTATCTGAGCCATAGATCCTAAATGAATGCACAGTTTTTATTAAATATAATATGAGTAGAAATACACATGATTTCAAATAATTATTATTGGGGTTGAAATGCATTTTATTAATATTTATAACATTAGTGAATATTAATGTTTTTACATCGAGTTGTAATAATAATTAAGATATTATATTATAGTTAAATTATTTAATAGTAAATAACATATTCACACATTCCATGTTAAATACTAAAAAATCATACTTTTTTGTTAATTATAAATAGATTTGAAGGTTAGGTATAATGAAATAATGCTTGAAGGTTAGTATCATAGTGTATTATTAGAATAAGCTATACTTTATACAGTAAACTGTTAGAAATATGTTAGAAATAGAAACTATGCCTTCATATTACAGTAATTTTACATAATTATTATAATATAAACTTTTATATAATTCGAAAATCAAAACAAAGTAATAATAAAGAGATAATTGGCGACAGATATGAGGATGAGTTGTGAGAACTCATAGGAATTCATAGGAAATAAGTCGAGACAATAGAAACCAATAATAAGTCAGTGAACGAGTCATTAGTATTGAGTACAACAATGGATAGCATTTGTGAGCGCTTTTCGATACCATCGCCAGCAATGAGTTAAAACAGAAAAACAAAGATAACACTGTTATTGTTCCCAATATCATAGCTATTATAAAAAATAGTTTTGAATCCTTATTGTGTGTTGAAAATAGTAATAATAGAAGATTAGGAATAGCCATATAATAAGTAATAAAAACAAATTTTGAGAAAAACTGATTTAATGAATAAGTGGTTCGTGTGATAGCGTTGTGTTCGACAATGGCTCGCATTAGCCGTCCATTGAGTCTATGATTTGTATAAAACATTATTAGACTATCGACTTCATCGAAACTGTACTTTAAATACAAAATAATTGTTATTAATATTAACGCTAATATAGATAAAACTAAAAATTGTTGACAAATTGTAATAATAGTCACAATAGTCCAGATAATAAATATGAGTGTATTATAGTTATATTTACTATCAAAATTAACCATGATTGTTATTACCACAATAATACCCGAAGCTACTAATATCCAACCATAAATAAATGGTTTATGAATTATATTGATATAAGTATTTAATATAAACGATATTTTCTCGACACTGTATTTACTAATAAATAGATTATATTTATTATGTTTGATATCATTTAATAAAGGTAACATAAGTAATTTATTTTTCAATTCATAATTCAGTATGATTAATTTTGTCATTACTACGCTAGAAATAAATAGGATTTCCATTGAACATATTAGTTCCGGATTACCTAGTTTATTAAATGGTGCACATAACCACCAATTATCACCAAATAATAATATTATTATACATCTCAATGTATTAATAGTTAATATAATTATTAATACAGATATCCATAGCAAACGTCTCCTGTTTTTAAATCCGGATTCGTATTCATCGAAATCATTGCAAATAAATAAATAACTAGTTTTGCATAACTTTTCTAAATTAGTGATACCAATAGCCGGATCATACCATGTCTTGATTATATCATTGCCGTAAATTATTTTGATGAGATATCTGATAACTTTCAAAAATGGATTTAGGTGCTTTTTGACAAATAATTTATTTGTTAATGTATTCATTATAATTGAAGTGTATATAGTAATTTTAATAAACAATATTAATAATGTTATTTTGGTTTATAAAATAATTTTACTAAATTTTAAAATAAAATATATTTCATATGATTTACACATTTAAACAATTATATTTTTATATTCAAATAGTTTATTTTAAATATTTTAATGGCAATCAATATTATAATGCAAATAATATAAGCAAACTTTATAATACAAATAATGAATATGAATTTTACTGTTAAATTAAATAACTTATACAAATAGTAATTTATATTTAAAAGTTATAAACCATAGTTTAAATAAATAAACTTAAAAAATAGATAATCGAAAAATAAATTTTACTAAATATTATTTGTCTCGATATTCAACATATTTTAATTAAATTTTTAATTAACAAACTAATTAAATTATAATTCATATTATTTGTGGTTTGGAAACACGTGTTAATTCACATTTATTAATGAATAGACAATCGGGTTATTAATAGATATATAATTTGTAAGTTTTGTAAATAATTAAATATCTTTTAAAACAAAGTGATAATAAAAAGATAATTAGCGCCAGAAATATAGATGAGTTGAAAGAATTCATAGGAATTCATGGGAAATAAGTCGAGACAATAGAAACCAATAACAGGACCTGACAGTCGGCTAATCATTGACTCGATTCTCAGTCTCTGTCTATAAGTCAGTGAATGTGTGGTTAGTATTGAACACAACAATGGATAGCAATTGTGAGCGCTTTTCGATACCATTGCCAGCAATAAGTTTACAGAGAAAAGTAATGTAAAAGTTACAATTGATAATATTATCATTGGTCCTACAAACATTAATTCTGAATCCCTATTATGTGTGGTGTATAATGTCATTTGAAATGAGGGAATTGCCATAAAATATAAAATAAATATTATTTTCGAGAAAAACTGATTCAACGTATGAGTGGTTCGTGTGATAGCGTTGTGTTCAACAATGGTTCGCATTAGCCGTCCATTGAGTCCATGTTTGACACAAAACTTTATCCGAGTATTGATTTCATGGAAACTGTACTTTAAATACAATATTAGTGTTATAAAACTAGAGGCGCCCATTGCTAGAGTAATTAATTGCTGCCAAACGGTAATAACAGTTGCAAAGCTCCAGAACACAATGTTAATCAAATGATACTGGTAACGAGAGTCAAAATATGTGATAAATATAGGTATTATACCAAAGCTTGATATAATTAAAATCCAACCGTATATAAGGGGGTTATGGATTATTTTCAAATAAATACTCAAATAAAGTGAAATTTTCTGTAAGCTATATTTACTAATAGGTAATTTATGTCGATTTTGTCCTAAATCATTTAATATATTTAATCCATATAATTTATTGTCCAATTCATATTTTATAATAATAATTTTCATTATTATTATAATCAGGGTAAACATGATTTCAATTGTAGACAATAGATTTGCATTTCCCAAAATGTGTATAGGGGCACATAAATGGTCCATGATAAATTTATTATCCTTATATATAAATATCATAACACATCTAATAAAAGTTAATATAAGTATGATCATTAATACAATTATAAATAGCATACGTTTAATATTTATGACCCCGGACTGATATTCATCAAAATCCCTACTAATTAATATATATGAGGTTTTTCGTACCTTATCTAAATGGGCGATGCTAATAGCCGGGTCATTCCACTTGTTGATTATATCAGTACCATACATCAATTTAATCAAATATTTAATTGCTTTAATTAGTTTATTTGATGACCTTTTTCCAAATTTATTATGTATACTAATTTTATTAACGTCATTCATGTTGAATTAATTTTCAATAATAATACTTAACCAGTCAATTAAATATTTTTATTAATTTTTTTATTGAATAGATAATAATTTAAAATAATCTTTATAAATGTGAATGCTATTATAATATTTTATTACAGAAATAATACATAATTAATTTCTTAAGAAATAGTTGCTTGCGAAATACAAATATTTAATTACATAGAAATTAAATAATTTTTTATTATTTAAACAAAACCAAAATAATATTTTTATTTCAAAATTAAAATTACATCTACAGAATGTTAAAATAATTATTAAAATGCATAACAATGAAGGTCATAAAATATTAAAATTATAATATATAAAAATTATTAAAAATTATTAAAAATTATTAAAAATTATTTTTTATTGTTAGGGATATGAAACCAATCTAACCACATAATAGTAGTTTATATTAATTTACTATTACTGAATATAATTGGTCAAAACAAACTCATACTGAACAAATAATTTAAACCCAAAATATATATGAATATATAGATCCTAAATGAATGAACATTTTTATTAAGAATAATATGAGTAGAAATACACATGATTTGAAATAATTATTATTGGGGTTGAAATGCATTTTATTAATATTTATAACATTAGTGAGTATTATTTTAGTAATTCAACATCAGCAAATATTAAAGTTTGTTACATCGAGTTGTAATAATAATTAAAATATTATATTATAGTTAAATTATTTAATAGTAAATATTCTCATATTTAAATACTAAAAAAGCACACTTTGTTGTCAATTATAAATAGATTTGAAGGTTAGGTATAATGAGATAATGCTTGAAGATTAGTATAATAGCGTTAGAGTATTATAGGAATTAGCTATAAAGCTGTTAGAAATAGATGTTAGAAACGATGCCTTCATTTTACAGTAATTTTAAATAATTATCTTTTTATCTGAGAAGACAATGCCAGTAGAGTTCTTTCAGTATTTCTTTTATGAAAGATTAAGATTAAAGCATTTTTTTCTGATAAACTATTGGCACTGGCTTCTCAAATATAAACCTTTATATAAATATTTCTTAAATCAAAACAAAGTGATAATAAAAAGATAATTAGCGCCAGAAATATAGATGAGTTGAAAGAATTCATAGGAATTGATGGGAAATAAGTCGAGACAATAGAAACCAATGACAGGACCCGACAGTCGGCTAATCATTGACTCGATTCTCAGTCTCTGTCTATAAGTCAGTGAATGTGTGGTTAGTATTGAACACAACAATGGATA